ATTTCTACAACTGGTTCATCTTTGTCCATGGCAAGCCATTGTTCAATGTCATTTTCTGAGAGCTTTGCAACAGCATTCTTCTCAGAGACATTTTCAATTATTTCTTGTATGTTACTAATGTGCTTAGGCCTAACATTAAATCCACAAAATTCCTCTTCATCAGAAGAATCATCACAAAACATGATGCTAGGCCAAAGTTTCCTCCAACATTTTCGTACAGTAACCTTCTTTACGTCTTTCCAAGCCAATGCAGCCGCATACACAGCGTCCTTAAGGTTGAAATCAGATTGAAATTCAGAAACACTGCAGTCTGAGTTTACCAACTTTTGGACAAAAGTCCCCCTGTAGAAACACTTAAAGTTCTGTATCACACCTTGATCCATCGGTTGGATCAAAGACGTCACGTTTGGTGGCAAATATGTAGAAAAGATATTTCCACTTACAAGCTCTGAAGCGGGCAGATGTGCTTGACAGTTATGAGCAAAAGAACAGCTTTACTATCCTCCGGTAGACCCTCCTTTCTAAAATTCTCCTTAACTGCGAGCACAAAATGATTAAAAAACCAGTCCTTAAACATTTCTGACGTCATCCAAGCATTCCCCTGTGCCTCATAAATCACTGGCAAACTCGTAAGAGTTTTAAATGCCCTTGGTTTTTTGTACTTCCCTATGACAAGAAGCTTAAGTTTATGCGTGCCAGATACATTTGCGCATACCAGAACTGTAATGCAGTCTTTGTTCATTTTGAAGCCATGAGCAGCCTTTTCACCACCGCCAACTAGAGTAGAGTTTGGCAAACAACGCCGTAAGAGCCTAGTTTCATCAGCATTGTACATTTGACAAGATGACAACCTGTGTTCCTCCACCAACTGCTCAAAAACAGCATTATACTCCTCTGCGGCTACATGATTGGCAGACTTTTGCTCACCACTGATATCTAATTTACGGATCCCATGCCGATCCTTAAAATTACACAACCAACCTTCTGAAAACACACATGATTCGCTAATGTTCATTTGACTGTGAAACTGTTTTGCTTTTTCTATGAGCACTGGCCCAGTAATGGGCTTACCTTCAGAACGCTTTGCATTAAACCACTTAAACAAAGCTACATCCAACTGTGCCATCTTAGGCATTTTCAGAGTTTGCCATAGCTCAGTACGTTTAGTAGGTGCTTCACTTTCAGCAACAAATGCTCGCAATTTATCCTTCTGTTTCTTTATGTCATAGATTGTCGAGATCCAACGTTAAATTTACTCATGATAACCTTCCGATTTATGCCTCTTTCTAGCATCTTTATAATTTCTAATTTCTGGTTCAGTGTCAGGGTTATATGCTTCCTTTTTAAAGTTTTCTTACCACTACTACTAGCACCTTCATTCACTTTTGACTCCATCACTATGTACACTCTGATGGGCAAAAATATTCAAAAGTCAAAACAGCACTCTCCAGTGGGTCACAATGCTAATGGCAGACTGACTCCCCCTCTCCCACCAACCCCTACCTTCCCCTGCCCCCCCTCCTCCAGGTAGTAGAGAGGAAAGGTACATTAACTGCATGTCGGCTGTGGATCCAGCCGGAGTGAGTGTAACTGATCAGAACGTCCTGAATGAGGCTGCTTTGGCACACCCTCACCCCTTCCTCCTCCCCCTCCCCCTCTCCCACCGACCCCTACCTTCCCCTGCCCCCCTCCTCCCGGCAGTAGAGAGGAAAGTTACATTAACTGCGTGTTGGCTGTGGATCCAGCCGGAGTGACTGTAACTGACCAGAACGTCCTGAATGAGGCTGCTTTGGCACACCCTCACCCCTTCCTCCTCCCCCTCCCCCTCTCCCACCGACCCCTACCTTCCCCTCCCCCCCCCCTCCCGGCAGTAGAGAGGAAAGTTACATTAACTGCGTGTCGGCTGTGGATCCAGCCACAGTTAATCAATAACTCTAACAACTTGAAGCAGCTGCCGGAGCACTTCCGGGTTGCAGTTGGTGCCAGACCATCAGGCGTACCGGACCACTGGATGCCAGACCACCGGAGTTTTACTGTAATTACTTTGGTTGATTGGTTTCTTTTCCTGGTTTTTCACATTGACTGTAATGATGGTTTTTATCATTATTATTTTTTTTATTTTATGATCTTTGACCCTTCTATATGTGTAGCAGACAACATATTTAATTTATTCTTCTTTGTGGCTTTCAAATTCCAGCTATCTTTGTTATCGGGAAAAAACTGAGGGGAAAAAGGTTGTTTCAGTACAAAATGTAGGTCACATCAGTCACTGGCAACAATTGAAAATGAGGTGGGGAAATTGGCCTCTTAAAGGAGCATTCAAAGGCAACTTGCAGCAACAAATATATATAATGTGTTTGATTCTAAGAACAAGGTAGGAAGAACTTGGAAGCCTTTACTGATGGGTCTGTTACCTAACAGCTCTTCCTCCTCGGAAATTCTAAAAGGTCTTCCAATCCTTTTTATGATGAGACAAATCTCATGGGTACTCACCACAAATATTTCCACAAAGGCTTTTTCTGTCCATCCTTAAATATGATGTCTTCCTTTCACTCTGCAACAGTGATGACCAACCACATATAGTGAGTGAACCAGAGTAGTGTGCCTCCTTCATCTCAATGGGCCACAGCAGCCCACAGTCCACTGGGGTTCCTCCTATGGCCCACTGAACCTCTCTTTGCCCCTTACCCCATGCATCTCTCGTGCACTGGGACACTGGAGCCCTATACTTACCTGTTCCATCTCCGCCCTCCTAGCACTTTTGGAACACTGCGAATCCACTGATTTGCATTCTGTCCCTTCCTCTCCCTCTCTCTTCCAGAGCTTGAACAGCTGTGGATAGCTGATGCGTGGCACCCTAAAAGTGCTGACAGTGAGGAGAGGCATAGGAAGTGTCGGGCTCTAATTCCCCAGTGCCCAAGAGGAGTGTAGGAGACGGGGGAAGACAGGCAGTCTGCAGACTGCAGGTGGAGCCCCAGAGGGCCACATGTGGTGTGTGGGCTGCAGATTGCTTACTACTGCTCTGCAATATTTGATATCTACTTGCCAACTTCTATCAAGTGCAGATTCACCTATAATACTGTACCTGTCTGAGAATCAAAGTAATACATCTGTTTCTTAATACTCCATGAAAAGTCCCTTAGCTTTTACAAACATGAAACATTTTCCGAAACAGTTTAAAATGAGGAAAATTCAATATGAATCCCAAATTCTATATACGTTTCCCTTTCATAATTCTCTATTTTCTTCTCTCTGAAACTTTTTATCACAAGGAGAAAATATCTATATCCTCAAAGAAATTCTGCATAGATATTTCCTTTTATTAGATAAAACAGTTTACAGCCAGTCTGTTTTACTAAGGTATCATAATATTTTATTTACTATTCCTACTTTCTGATTTTTTCTATAGCTAAGACTTTCAGGTGAAAACATAAACATAATTACTTGAGAAAATGAGTAAAATGGATGTAATTTTGTTTAAAAATATAAATCATTAGGCTATGCAAAGCACCAAAATATAAAAATAATAATCAGATCCCAGATTCAAAAACGTTAATCAGATTTCAAGGTGATTAAGAACTCTCCCTTTACAATAAATTACAATTTGAGTGCAGTTTAGCTATTTGGTGTTGATGAAAATGTGACCCCAAATTTCACTGGAGACCACCCCAGAGTTACACTTATATGGATTTATTAAATGAGGAATTAACAATCCAGGGTTAAACTCAAGGGGATTGAGCTGTCATTTAATGCCATTATAGGGTTAAAAAGAAGGGGCTTGAGCTCTCTCTCTCACCCATCCAAACACACACATTCATTAGTCCAGTCACACACATTCATTCATGCCCTCAGGCATTCACACACTTACAAAGGTAAAGGGTTGCCAAGCAAGCAACTCCAGAGGTTTGCCTCTAGGGATGGATCCGGTCCAGTGAGCTGTTCAGAAAGTGGGCTTCTGCCATGTGCTCTCTCCTTTTATTGGAATTGGGTGGGTCCTGTCACTCACTCAGGGGTCCTTCCTCCAAGTTCCTCACTGAGGAGCATACCCAGACCTCCCTCAGTCCAGGTCCTTTGTTTGCTTAGGACAGGGCTGTGTCTTTAATTAGTCACCTCCTGGCTCCATGTGGTTAGCCTTGCTGTAGCTTAGAACAAGTTACAATCAAAGTGGCTGAGAGTTACAATGATTACAAAGTTGCAAGGCTCAACCATCACCAGATTTACAGTAGGTTTTTGAGCTTATAAAGCAAAGTGGCTGAGAGTTTATAAGTTTATAAGCTTACAACAAGGTGCAGAATGTAGCTGAAAGTTACAATGAAACAAGTACAAAGCTTCAAAGCTCAATAGTTACAAAGATACCTTCCAGAGCAGGGTATCTTACTGAGACTGAGAAGACAACTCCCCCCCTTAAACAGTGGTCACAGCAATGCAGTCAAGCATCAGGTTTTGTCATTCTCTAAATCGTATGTTGGCAGGACCATACAGTTTAATGCATTTCCAGAAAATTTGTGCGTAAATCAAGTAATAGCTCAGGTTGAGGCTTTATGCAACAAAAATAAGTTGAGATGTTCTGAAATAGCTGAAAGTACAACTTCTCTGTCTAAAATTAATTGTGAAGAATAGAATCCATATATGGGCCAACAGCATTATCAATTCCAAATACATATATAAGCATGGTGCAGTAAAGCATGTCTCCTGTGGGAATTTCATACATCTATATTTTTGGAAAATAGTTGCAATGTGTTATTGCTTAAATGTATATATTCATTTTATTATAAATTTGACATTGTAGTATCAATAGCCTGATTAATCCATCTTTTTTGTGTTCTTTGTTGAGAAAATACTCTTGAGCCTCTGTTCTTCATCTGGTTTAGATAGCTAGTGAAAATTCTCAGGAAGTCTTCATTAAGTAATCAAGTTCAGTTGCCTATTTGTTGAAAATGTATATGGCTTTATTAGAACAGAAACACAAATGCTAAAGACCCGATTCTTACTCACACTGAGTAGTGGGAATAAGAATTGTGAGCAATCTCATTGCTAATCAGAAGAGTAAATACAACTCAATATGAATTAATGTCCAATTCAGCAGCCTTAAACCAAGACCACTTACAATAACACTGAATAAACCAGAAGTAACTTTGCAATGGCCACATGTAAACTCTCCATGAAAAATTCTGTTCTCAATAATAATTCATGAATAATTCAGTGGAATTAAAATTGGACTAGTGATGCTGAAAGTAGAATTATTCCTGAAGTATGCAGATTTGACTGAAAACAGAATTTGGAGTCATTACTCTGTGGATCCCCACTGATGTTTTTGAGTCAGTACAAAATGTGGCCAGTAAAATTTTTGACTTTGCATTGAATTATCTACCTTCTTTCTCCAAACAGTTCCTCCTTTCCTGAAATAATGTGCCTGGGGAAATACTGTTAAAAACTTAAGTGATGATTGCTTTAGATAATGAAACCTTTACTCACATTCATAGGTATTCCTCTCTTTGATTTCAGCAGATATGTGTAAATGCTCACTAGGATCAATGAAAGCTCACTTATAATAGTGCACCTCATCATAACTATATGCCCAAAGCACCAGGATGCAGCCCAAAATCAATAAGATTTCACTGCCCAGCTCCAATTAATTCAGATGAATAGTTGTGTGTGTGCTTTAAAAAATACCTACCATTTAAATGCAGCCAACCACAGTATTTCCTCGTTTTTACCAATCCTACTTTCATTACATACCAATACTTTAATTAGGTGAAAAAAATATAGGCCCTGCATCCTGTTCTCCATGTAAAATGCCTTTCAAATTAAAGAACAAAACAAAACAAAAAAATCCATTGTTTTATATCACAATCTATTGAAATCTGCTTTTGAAGCAGATCATGAAGATATTGCTTCTGCTATCTGTCATACCAATATTATCCAACCCAACTGAACAATCAAATCCAATTCCAAGATGATAAATTACCTAACCTCTGTTTTCTATCTCATGTAAGCCTACAATTCTTCCAGTATTAGGTCTTCTTGATTGCTTGAACTTTAGTTGCACCCAGCCATACCCATTGTTAGATGATCTTTGGCAAAAATCAATTTGCTACCTTTCAAAGGGTCTTTAAAAGTATTAAATGTCATTTGGCTTGTATAATCAAATGATCACAGTTTTGACCTTCACCCATTAATTTTTCCAAGGAAGGTAAAGTATAAAAAGGTCAAATCTGTTTTATAGAGCTATTGTAAGATACCTTGTGTGTAAATATGTGAGTACCTGGCATAGTATAAACAAAAGGCTGTTGAATTATTTGACATGCGCTTCATCATATAATTGCAGATAAAACATGCTCATGACTCAAAAGGCATGTTGTATCAATTTTAGTTATTTAGGAGTGTATTATAAAGAGTATAAGAGATTAGAAACCAATTTTAAAAGAAGCATATTTGAGGATTTAAAAGCCTACGTTTTAAAAAACACTTAA